TGTTTTGTCCTACCTTTTGCAGAAATACTATGCTGCAATGTGTGTATGCACAGTGCATGGGGGCTGCTGCATTTCTGGGGGTGAGTTGCCTCAGTGAACGTCATTCAAACTGATGTTTCTGATATTTGCTAAGCTGCCATTTCCTGAGCTATTGGTGTTGCTGCACAGTCTCAATGAAACAATGACACTGTCTGGATCTTCAATCACCATAGCAAGGAAAATCAATTGCAGTGCTCAAAAGACAGAGCTTATGGTGCAAAGGTTACCAAGCACTGCTAGATGCCTTTTTGCAGCTGAGTCTTGAAAAGAATCAAAAAAGAGGAGACAGATGGGAAGGAAGCTCAGCTGACTGACGTTTATCTTCCTAATTTACAAAAATGAGACCTAAGATTTACATCTTGACCGTTTTAGGCTCTGATTAAGTTAAGCATTTCTCCAGTGTAACAGTACGCAACAATCTCTTGTGCAGAGGGATGGCTGAGTTTAAAGGTAGCGCTTTCTGTATTAGACTGCTATCACTTATACTTGTTGTTTGACAACGGAGTACAAAGAGGAGGCTACCATTTTACGACTCCATAAAGAAATTGCTGAAGACATTTAACAAAAGACAAACATTGCCACACATGTATAAAACATCCCTGAAACCAGAAGCTGTAGTTTTCATAACAGCAGCTATGATTTATTTCTCTAACCTGAGTTATAAATTTAAGCATCACATTTTCCTATTTTATCTTCAGTGTTCAATACTGCTGTTCTGTGTGACAAAAGTTCAAGAGGTATATGATGGAGGCAATATCACAGTTGTCTGAAATGGCTCTGTTATATATCTCAACACCATATTCTCTAGGGATGATGCTTCCTGGACATCCTTCTCTCTAATATAGCTGCTTCTGATAATTAAATATCAGTATGGTGCAGTTTTATAGTATATGCTCCTAGGAGACTCTTTCTGTTTGTTTCTAGCATAATCTCTTATTCTCATGTCTTTGGAAAGAAAACCCATCTTGTCGCTTTAGGCTGGGTCCCAGACGTGAAGTAATGGTGAACAGTAACTATTCTGACAATCCAGTCCCATTCTCTGCACCTCCCAATGATGAGCAATTTATAATTGTATTCCATAGATTTTTTTATTCTTTAAACTTGGAAAACCCACCTGCTCTGTGTATTTTGAAGGTAATTTTGTATTAGACAATAAACATGATGAGAAAATACATTCTAAAGAAATGCTAAAATTTACTTTTATGTTCAGTGCTGTCACTTGTGGGTTTTTTGTTCACTTTGGTATTTTTTTAAGTGCATGGTTTTACATACAGACAGAACCTCACTGCATTTGCAGTTGTTTTTTTGTGGTTGTGTTTTGTTTGCTTTTTTTGAAAGGGTTTGTAATCACCCATTGTAAGCCAGTGTGGTTATATCTATTAAGAATTAGTAGCAGAACAGCCGGTCCCAGCTCAAGGATGTTACTGTTTGTCTTTACTGCACAGTGGTGTGCCCGTGCTGTCGCACCACTGAGGCGCTTTAAAAGTTGCATTACAAAATTTCATGTAGTTCCAGGAAAATCTTTCATCAGCTGATGATATTTAGCAAGGTCTGGAGCATAAATACCTTGTATCTGGCTTTAAATTTGTATTTTGATCTTGTCAGATATCTCAAGTGTGGTTGCTGAAATGGAGAGGGAGAGTGTGGCTACATGCTTTCATTATTAAATTGTCTCTGAAACTTGCTTTGTAAGCAGACGAGCAGTATTTGTTGACTCCCCGTGTTCTGTTTCAGGAGCGGATCAGCCTTAGCTCAGCTCTACGGCACCTCTGCTACCTTGGAGCACCACCATTTCAATCATGCTGTCATGATTCTCCAAAGTGAGGTACAAAAGCATTACTATTAATCTCACTGTAAACTGTTGGGCAGTTTCAGCCGGAGAAAGGAAATACCACACACAGTACCTTTTTAATGCCCTCTCCTTGAGGAATTATTTATTGGTTACCACAAAGGTCACAACTAGCACAAAATTAAACAACTACAAATGCTGATCATAGAGCCCAGAGATTATATTTGTCTCAATCAGCTAAGGGCAAGGAGAACATATCCTAATCATATTGTCAGCTTTTCTCAGTCTTCTTACATATATCCTGCTCGGTGGTTTATAGGTAGGCGAAACAAGCTCTTAGCTTTCCCCACAGGTGTTGTGTTCAGAGTATCAGTCATCCTTTAGTGGACCAATTCAATTTCTTTGACAGTCTTTGTGTAATCAGTCTTTTTATGATGGCTTTGCATAATTTTTTAATTTTTTTTTTTTAAATTAATATCAGTAATATTGTGCTGTCCAAAGTATACTAGCTGCTTTGCAGTTACATTTAAAGACATAGTTCTTGCCTGGAATATCTTAGGTGCAACAGTATGCAGTGTGCACTGCCCCAGAGATGTGTAGTAAGTGAGAGAAGCAGAAGGGTGGACACGCAATCCTTACAAAACAATGGATGTCTTTTCTTGATTTACACAGATAGGTTGTTAGAAAATGCATTCAGCATATATAAAAACAAAAATGTTGGTCATGCAGCACAACTGGAGACCATATGCTGATCTGTAGTAACTTTTGAAGAGCATCTGGGAATGTCCCGCAATCACAAACAAATGGGAACAGGGTGATGGCTTTACCTCTGTGTACAGTGTCAGAGATTAGTCATGAGACTGTGGCATTAGTGTTCAGTTTCTCAACATTATATTAAAAAAGTAGACATAGGAAAGGAGAGCACCAGCATGAGATTTAAACAGCTCAACCTGCCTAGCCTAGCTTATCTAAAAGATACTAGGAATTAAATGGTTCTCTACATTACCAAGAAAAAGGCGTAAGAAAAAGCAGCATTTGAAAGTTTGACTGGTTCAGATTAGGAAAAAAGGAAGGGTTTTTGGTGTGGTTTTGTTTTGTTTGTTTTTTTTTTCCTAAACCAATGAGACTGTTCAACCTCTGGAACAAGCTTTCCTGGGAAAGTGATTTCTCTAGTTCCTGAAATCTTCATCATAACTGAATGTCTCTGAAGACAGGCCCAAGGCATGGACCACTCTGTGAAAGTTTATAAGTCATGTCAGTCTAGATGCTTTTATTTATCTTTTCCAGCTTAAAAAAATTAAGGAATTCACACAAAAAAACCCTTTTTTTTTTCCTTGGAATCTATTGGAGCTTCTTTCAGAGATGTAAAATAATATTTGAAATGCAAGTCCTCCTCTTTGATCATTCAGGCAGCTTCTTCTCCAGGTCCTCAATTCTAGACCAGAAAATTAATCCTATGGGATTTTTATCTAATAGACGCTGTTGCTAATGGAACACAACACCCCTTAGTTTAGAATAAATGCAGATTTGGATTCTCCAATCTACTTAAAGATACACCAACTTTCACCAGTTGAGCAGTTGGTCTCCTCTCTCACATAAACTGAAATTAGATTGTATCCTATCCACTGATGTTGATACTCCGGTCTATCTTTGCTATCTAGAATGAAACATAGTGTATGTTTTTATATACATAAAACAGGATATATTTTTATCACATTAGACAAAGGAGCTATGTATCCTTTACTCTTGACGTGCTAACCTCAATATAAGTGATCTTCAGCTTTGTAGTGGCATGGTTTTATGCACCATGAAACAGGTCAGAAAGGCAACAGATATTATAGCATAACAGACAACTTGGGAAATTACCCATGTTGTAAGAGCTGCTATTTTCGTGATACATTTTGCTTTATTTTCTTCTGAGTACTTTGGTTTTAAAATTATTTTTCATAAATAAGCTTTAGATTCTCAAATCCTTCTCAATATTTAGCTGAAAAGAAATAACCATTTCATTGTCACAGAGAAGACCATCTTTTATGCATGGCAAATTATTTTTTTTTAGACCAACAATTAGCTGATCTAGTAAAAAAATACCATCTCTACTTCCAGACCTTATCTTGTCTATATCCTCAGACCATCATGGTTATAGCAATCCTTTTGCTAGAAAATTCTTGTTTTTAAGGGCATTTTAATCTTCCTAAGCAGTAGATGGCAGTGCATACTGAATGTGTGCATTATAGTGCTACATACCAGCAAAATAAGACTCTGTTTAGCAAGAACCTCACTATTTCTATAGGTGATTAGGAAGAAAAAAACAACCACCTTAGTCCTTTTATTGATGTTAATTTAGTTATATGTGACTAATGTCACAAAGACCACTTCTTAAGCTTACATTTAAAATTTTCCATTAATTTTATTTCTGTCTCATTATTTTCTCTAGGATTTCGTAGAGAAATTATAGGATCTCTATCCCTCTTAGTTTTCAGAAATTCAGTTACAAAAGGACCTTCCTGCTCTCAAATAGCAATATTAAATAATTTGTTTCCTTCCATTCTGGCTATGGAGCACCTTTCAAATTCTTAATCCATGATCCCTTAAAAAGTAGCCTGTTGGGCTGACAAAGAGCATTTAAACCGCCTAAAGTTGCGATTCTTTAGCCGGCATAGGGAATGCTTGTATACACTGTAAGACAACGCAGTAACAGGCAGAGTGAGCAAATGGACTGTTTTGAATGAAAAACTGATTTAGTGTCTTTGACTGCTCTAACAGCAGTTTGTGTGCCTGCAAGCAGCAGCACAGATAAATCTATTAGGAGCGCAACTCAAAAGCTGCAATGCACAGCTCCCCAAAACATTTAATAAGAAGAAAGATTGAGATGTATCCATAGTTTTTCCCCATAAACTGAGTCTGTGCAGGGTCAGAGCAAAGAGTAAATCTTTCCTCAAGAGGCTGTAATTTCAGCAGAGTTTAGAAAAACCTCCCAGGTGCTTGATTACAATCGTCAACTCTTCCAGCCCAATGTAATCTCAGCAGTATTAACATTATTTTGTTGTAGTTTTGCCATGAATCAGAAAAGGCCTCTGTTAGGGGAAACGGTAGACTAAAGAGTTAGAAAACCTTTTAAAAACCTGTATTGATTGCTAGCCCTTTACCTCTTTTATCTCTTTCATTATAGGGTCACAACATCTTTGCTAACTTGTCCTCTAAGGACTACAGTGACCTTATGCAGCTTCTAAAGCAATCGATATTGGCAACAGACCTCACTCTGTATTTTGAGTAAGTATTGGCATTTCTTGTATTTGACAAATGAAAATTCGAAGAACTTACTCTAATGACCTATTAAATACCAATAAGGATATATAATATGAGAAATTAGTGTTTAGCTGTGGTTGAAGAGATTTAGTCTAATACTTAGTATATCTTAGGCTAATATAAATATCTCAAGTGTCCAAGTAAGTTTTGATTTAATGTGTAACATGTCTGTATCAACAAAACGCAAGTGAAGTCCTAGGCTTATACTTCACAGCAATCCCAGGAATCGATTACAGCTCAGTCCTGTAATTCTTCTGTCCCTTCCGTGATTATTTCTTCAGGCATATAGGAAGTCAATGACATTTCAGAATTCTTTTCCACCATTTCAGAGTGTCTAAACATGTATATTAAGAAATAATATATTTAGTTACAGACCCAGTTGCAGAGGTAATGGAAGCATACGGATTGCTGCTTTGAAGACAAACTGTCAATTTGCATCATATGAGAACAGGTCTTAAAAAGCTTAATTTGAGAGAAGTATAATAGGATATCTCTCATCCAAGTTTCTTCCTTTTCCTTGTTTGCAAATCAAATCTGTAAATAGACTGTTAAATAGTTGGTGCTATTTTATGTTTTTCAAATACCGTTAATCATTACCAAGCTCTTCCCAGTGAGAATGTGTGGGAGCATGTGTGTAGTTGGAGTTGCGGTGTCACCATCACATTGCACTTTGACATCCCCCGCTCTGGCACGTGCCTGTGGCTGACTTACAGGGAGAAGTACTGTTGGATGTGCAGTTTCAGTGTACCACCTTCCCAGTCTTGGCAATAATTCATCCTTAGGAATTTTTGTTTGTCCATTAGCATCCTATCCTGTAAAGTGCTGGGTGGCATTTAGTAATGTTTTTCTTAGGGTGGTATACCTGGATTCCACCCGTCCTTTGTGCTGATGCTTGATACCAAACCAGGTTTCCAGAAAACTTCAGGCAGTCTTTACCCTGAAATTGTTCAACTATCCGTATCAACGTTGTATCTTTAACTGTTGATTTTTAAAAATACTAACTGGGATGCTGCAATGTTTGCTTTGTCTTTTTTTCTCAGTATTAGGTTACTGTGCCAAGGGCTGTTTCTAAACAGTACTGGCAGCGGACACATTGATATTATTTTTTTCCTGCAAGTCTGTGCTCAGAGAAGTTGCATTAAGAAAGGATGTTAGTGAATAGTTCTATTGTAAATAACTTCTAAACATTAGTCCATGAAGAAATTTCTGCTTGCCGACATGAATATCCTAAGCAGGACAAATAAACCCGTTTAAGTATATGCTTTTTGAAGCTGTCTCTTAGGATCGCTTGTTATCCAGGGGGGCTGGTATGACAGGGGAATTTGCTGACAGCTTTAAATGAGATACAAGGGCCACAGGGATGTGTCAGTATGGGTTCTCCTGTCTCACCACAAATAACAAGTGCTGCAGAAATGTTTTGTGCTGTCAAGGAAAAGATGAGTGGCAGGGGCTGAGAGGGCAGCTGCTCTGGCACAGCCCCATCTGCTCCCCCTGGCCTGGATCCTGCATTCCCTGGAAGAGCCGGAGAGGGCCCACGGCAGTGCCTTGGGAAGGAACCCAGTCCAGATCCAGACACGATGGAGCTCTCTTCCCTGTCTGCCTTAGTTTGAAAAACTACACAGTCAAATTGTCTTTCTAGTTTTACTACAGAGAAATAATGTCCAAAAAGGGACATCAGCTGGACTTCAAGATTACTTTTCCTTGCTTGCATAATTGATTTTTATGTGCTGCATGAATCAGAAAACTTCTAGCATGCAGCCATTTGCTCACCCCCTGTCCCCCCACCCCCCTGGAGGGTAGGGACAAGAGGGAGAAAAACGAAAAAAAAAAACCTCATGGGTTGAGATAAACACAGTTTAATAGAACAGTAACAGAAGAGGGGAAAAAAATGGTAAAAATGTACAAAATAAAGTGATACAACACAAGTTGCTCTCACCACCCTATGATCGATTGCCCAGCTCGTCCCAAGCAGCGATTGTGGATTTCTGACCCCCGGCCAACCTCCATTTATATACTGAGCATGATGTTTATGGTATGGAATATTCCTTTGGCCAGCTTGTCCTGTCTATGCTCATGCTCAGCTTCTATGGGAAGCTGAAAAAGTCTGTGACTTAATATAAGCATTACTTAGCAACAACTAAAACAATATGTGTTATCAACATTATTCTCACACTAAATCCAAAATGCAGCAGCTACTAGGAAGAAAATTAAATATATTCCAGCTGAGACTAGGACAGGCCTATTTACTCAGAGTTCCACAAAGTTACCTTTTCCTCTTGTGTTATTTTGATTCATTAATCAGGTAGTTGTTATGCTACTTTCCTTCCAAAAGTGCCTGAAAATCACTCCCTGGAAATGTTAATGGTTTACACTACTTAAAGCCACCATATGTGAACAGATGTTTCTGCCCAAGTACCAATCTTGGTTTTTTTCAGTTTGCTGTATCTTTGACATTTTTGTAGAGAAGGAAATTCTCATATTGGTATTCTTAGAACACCTAAGCCTAATGATCGCAAAGTCTGGCTAGCAAAACAGCAACAAAACTCCAGGCAGAGCAAGGCTTTATGAGCTTCTCAAAGTACTACCTTTCTACAAACAAACAAAAAGATGCCTTTCAGTGAAAGATCAGATGGAAAATATACTTGATTCTAGTAGATAATTCTAGATAATTATCCTTGTAGATAATACAACAAGCAAAAGCATGGAACCAAAATGAAGTTTATGGAAATTCACTCAAATGAGGTCTTGAGCCACTGGGCTGTAGAGCAACTGGGTTTGCTATATATAGGAAAACAACTTTCCCTTCAGGCAAAATACAACCAGAATCAATGTTACTCAAAGACATTGCAAATCGTTATCATTCTCTTTATTTCTGAAAACCTGGCATATTTTCTTAATAATAGGAAACCTCTTCGTTTTGGATGCCATGCATAAACAACCAGTAGGAAAGTCTAAGTTGTTTCCTTATTCATGGCTGCTTTCCTCAGGTTGACTCCTCTGTGGGGTTGGACTACTACTTCTGCATCCATTTAAATGGATTTCAAAGAAAATTCTTATTGTAAAGTTCCCAGTTTAACACAAGGCCTTGAAACTCACATTTTCAGTTACTGCTTATGGATTGTCTATTCTTTAAATTTGAATGTTTGAGGTTTCTGGGATGTAATGTTCCTGAGCTTTCAGCTTTAAACATTCTTGCCTATTTTTTGTCCAGTAGCATATAAATTGCCCAGAATATCCAGTACTTCAAAATGAAATCATTACCCAAGTTGACATTGTTAGACTGGCCACTGAAATACAGGATGCAAAATTCTACTGCTCACTGTCTTAATAGAGTATGTAGTTGTTGATGATCTGCTCAGGAGTAGACTGGTTTAAGGTTTATGTGCCAACTAGTCTTGGCCACTAAAATTTTAATCATTGCAATATTTATTTCCACTGGGGCCATGATACTATGACTTTGTGTGAGAGAACTGAATTTTGTTTTCTGCATGTGTGGCTTTGCATTGTCCTCGCAAATTTTGTAACATGGAACTCTTTTATATCTTATTTTGCAAAACATAAGGGATTAGATATCGTCACATAGTCCTTATCATGTAGCTCCCTGTTCTAGTGGCTGTCATGAAATCCATTATAGAAAGACCCTGTAGTAGGAGTGACTGGTCATATAATGCATGCCAGGGACCAGAATAATGCAACGTGCCTTATGTAAAATTCTGTCCATTGATCAAGGTCAATGTTTCTGGAAGTGTGCATCTCCTCGTGTGTAAAACCTACACTGGCTGCCATCAGACTGTGCTTTTAATAATTGCCGTTCAAAATTTCAGTCTAGCTGAAGTAAACGTGGAAAATAAAAGACTTTGCAAACTCTCTCCTGTTGGGGAATCTAGCTACATTTCCACTTGACAAAGAGATAGCACAGTCTCCTGTAAGTTGGGGCACTGGACTGTCACTCAGAACATAGGTATTTGTTTTCTACCTTTGATGCTAATACGTTGTGTCACTCTGGGCAAGTTGCTCCATATTTTTGTACCTCAACTTCTGCTATATCTGGGACAGGATCTGTTTTGTATTGTAGTCACACTGTGTGCAATAAGAGCCACTTGGATTTGCAGTGCTATAAAAAATTACAGACTGTAATGAGTCAGAATGTTGGAACTTAAAGGCACCAAACAAGCATTAGCATGTTTTGACTTATGTTTTGTCTATCTTTGAGGACATAGGCAAGATATTCCAGAAGACAAAGATGGGACCAAGCAGGGAGACTGAGTTTCTAGTCAGTAAGAACTACTAACTGGAGACATCTGCAGCTCCTGTATCTCTGTTCTGTGTGCTGGAAATAACAGGAATTGCATGTCTCTGAAAAACCCTTCAGGATGCAGAAGTAAAAAACATTTTGCAAGGACAAGTAAAGAGAAGAGTATATATATTTCAGGAGTGTTCCTATTGTCTGTCTGTCTATTGCTGTAGTTGAACATTTCATGCTTCCATGGAAGACTGAACATTTTGGTACCATTTATTTCCTTATCTGCAGAGACCATAAATATAATATTGCTTTTACTAGGCAACTCTGACATTGATAACAGACATTTATAGAACGTGTTCAGAAATTAGTATGTTTCGCTTAAATGGACTGTCAGTGTAATGACTTTAACAATAATACATGAGGTGCAATGATTTCATATCATCCAGAGAACTGTGTTTCTACTGCAGTGCTGCCCTGTAAGTGTCTTGTTTCCATCTCTGATATTCTGTTTTGTTTCAGGAGAAGGACCGAGTTTTTTGATCTTGTCAGTAAAGGTGGTTATGATTGGAATATAAAAAACCACCGAGAAATATTTCGGTGAGCCCTACTATTTCATGCTTTCTGGTTATTTCAAAGTGTAGCTATATGTGTTTCATATATCATGGAGCGAAGACTTAAGGTAACATGAGAAAGTAGCTTGTTTTAAAAATATGATCCATGATATGAAATATATGGTATGATTTCTAAACACTACAAAACAGCAGGGATGTAATCAGTGTGACCTCACCTTCTCTATTCCTATTTCTGCCTTCACACTCTGTCATGTTTTCTTCCCTTCCTCCCAGCATCACCAGTTACCACTCAGCCTTTTCGGCTCTTTCTCCTGAAAGCATCAGTATTCTGTCTGAGGACACAAAGATCTTTCTTGTCTGTTTCCCCATTCCCTCCTCCTCTCAGCTGTTTTTTTTCACTGGCCATGCTTCCCTCTGCTCTTCTAGTCTGTACCTGGGCATTTGCAGATACACGGTGCTCTTCCAGTACTCAAGAATGAGCTGAGCATGAATCCTATTGAAAACCTCAGACATTGTGGGTGGTTTGAGTACACCACGCTTCTGAGACAATAAAATGTATGCATTTGCACATGCATGCCTGATTATGTCTCGTTTTATCTGAAATTTCATTAAAATTCTGTTTCCTTTTGGTCTGTTCACCAAAATATTGGCCATTTTCTATTTTCCATATCATTTCACCCATTCCTAATTTTAGATTCAGGCAATATATTTGATGCTTCATTTTCAGTGCCCTTGTTCTTCATTTAAACTTTCTTAGACTTTTATCTGCATCATGTACTGTACATAAACGCTTTCTACAGCTGAATGGTTTCTTTCTCCTAATGCATATAAAACATGGTTGTAGCTAGGTATTAAACTACAGCGGAACAGTATCGCTCATAGTAAATCTTAAATTTTTATTGTGGATAAGCAGTAGAAACTGCTTAAACAGTGTCTGGGATGCCTCCTGTGATTATAGGTTCTCTTGCTACAGCAGTCACTTACAAATAGGCATATAAATTAATCCAGTTTGCAGGTGTTATTATGTAATAATACCCTTACTTATATCATGTGAAGCACATGCTTTCTGGTACATTATAGGTATTAATGTAAGTAGTGTTAGAAGTATTGTGAAATTAGCAGTTGCTCCCTTGCAATACCATTTCTTTTCTAGTGTGAAATGCACAAGACCAAAATTCATCGTCTGATGACCTACAACACATTAGGCTTCCTAGGCACAATTGTGATGTAAAAGCCATGCTGATGGCTGAGATTTCGAACATGTCATTCTTTTCTGGAGGAAAAGAAGGTGCCAGGGCTGACATTTTACATATGTATTATTTATTTATGCATCCAGCGCAGAGTTGTTTAGAACGCCAACAAAGGTTGATTCAGCTTGTATTGTTCATTTCTGTTTTTCAGATCAATGCTAATGACAGCCTGTGACCTTGGAGCTGTGACCAAACCGTGGGAGATTTCAAGACAGGCAAGTCATGATTAATAGCAGGGCTAGGAGGAGGCGGGACTGGCGGGACAATATTCCCAGGGCCCTGGCTTACAAGGGACCAAAACTGGAATCAATTTACAGCGGTATTAATGCTATAAAAAAAATAGCAGGGGGTTTCTGCGAGAAATGCTTTATTGCATAATCTTTCCATGTACGCATGCTGGTGAGTAGCATGTAGGTACCTAAAGAGATCTGGCTTTACAACTTCTCCTCTTATTAACCTTTTAAATCCTTATAAAAAAAATGGATGGATCAATTAAAAAAGTGTTAGCCATGTATAGCTGCACTTACTTGTTTTGTCCCAGTTTCCTTGGCAGTGGCGGAATCTTCCTTAAATAAAAAAAACCACCCCGCAACAGATGATCTGCAGACTTTGATTAACATAAAGTCTTCAGTATATAAGATAAATGTGTTTATTTTCTCAACACTGATGGAAAAAACTGCAAGTATAGTATAGAACCTTTTTTAGCATCCTGTACTTAGAAACAAACAAAAAATCAGGCTTCTGCTGTTGAGTAGGCTCTTTAGCAACATACATAAAACTTGAGTCTAGTATTGTCAAACAATTACAATGTGAGAAAGCAACCTGTCCCATAAGTCTTGTCCTTTACCACGTGATTTCCCCTCTTCTAGGTGTCTTGCCTTACTCAGCATCCATCCTTTATATTTCTGGTATCTGTGCAGCTAAGTGTGGCTAAGAAGCAGGAGGGAGTTTGATTGGCTTAACTGCAAAGTGGTAGTTAAAAAGATGGGGTGAAAAAGAGAAGCTGGACCAGAGAATTAGTGAGACAGGAGGTGGCAGATATCTTGGAGAAGGACAAGGAAGTAATGGAAGCTGAAAAGGACCTACAAGTTACATGCACGTTAACTCAGTAAAAAAGCATTTATGTGGTGAGGGCTTCAGCTCAGCTTGCAGTTTTGTCAGATGAGTCTTTTTTGCTTTTATAAGTAGGCTATGACAATAGTCTTTCTAAGGCTGTTATTCTACTTGGCCAGAATATGGTCGCCTCGCATGGAAATCACGGGAAGTTGCTGATACCCTGCAGTGGGAACATGAGTCACAAGATTTTTCAGTGCCACCTAGCCACAGCTGCAGCGTGTGCAGTCCTTCCTCATTTTTCCTCTTTAACCCAGTTAGCTTCTCCATTTTCTTTGACAGCCAAAATGTCAGGTAGGGTCTGTTTTCCATGTTGTCAATCTGTGCTATGTGCTGTGTGTTGAATTGGTGCTGAAGTCTCTGGCAAACTGGGTTTTTATCCTTATCGCTTTTGAGGTCTGTGGGTGAAAATTGCCCTGCAGTCTAGTGTACAGGTTTATTTTATATTGAAAAATCAAGTCTTGGATTGATTGAAACATTACCTGGTTGAGCAGAGAGGCTAATAAGTCCACAGAGGGAAAACAGGAAATAGTTGGACCTCAACTGTGCCGAAAGGAGGAAAAAAAAAAAAATCAACAACATTAAAAGCGAGGAAGAAAGAGATTAAAGTATATGAATCAAAGGGAATAAAGGCTACATGTAAGCAGGCGAAACTCAGGAAGAGAAGATAGACAAAAGACGAGGGAAAAGGGACACAAGGATAACAGGATCAGAATGGCAGTGAGACATAGGGGTGAGACTGTCTTGATTATTTTTATACAATACACTTGGCAAACCCTTAATTGCTGCTAAGTTGTTAAATTATTCCTCTATGTGGAGTATTGATCCAGAATTTTATTAGTGCACTGGGATTACATACATTATAAAGTTCCGAACTGTGTGATAGCCTGGCTCAAGATTTAAGAGTACTTTATAACATCAATTCACCTACTTCCAATTTATTTTGGTACTCCTTATTTCAACTGTAACAAGCTTAGGATTTGTGAGTGTTAGTTACTATGCAGTTGCTAGAGCAAGGAATTTTGAGATTTTATGAAGTGCAGGTTCTCTGCTTAGTTCGCCCTCTTGTGCCTTGGCATTATGAAATAATTTCCTAGCATGAAAACAATGAGCAGGCATGACAGGAGCTTTAGGAACTGAATGCCATCTGCAGTAGATTAGTTTCCTTTTTTTGCATCTGAAGTGTCACACGTGCCTACCTTCTCGGCCCCACACATGGAAAGAGTACAGTATATAAAGGCTACTATATCAGGATTTATCACTGTTTGACATCCTAAAATTCCTGTTGTTTCCATTACTAATTTTGTTTTCCAATCTTGTGTTCTTTTGAGAAGGACAAACCTTTTCTGTGAATAGTAGAACATCTTCATTCACAAAAGTCAGAAAGATGGATGCCAACTTCCAACCCCCCAGTTCTTGATTTTGATTCAATATGATAATCACAATCTGAGTTCATATTTAGATATTCACATCCTGTGGTGATGAGAGTCATGGGGGGGAAAAAGTAAAGTCTAATGGGGGAAAAAACCCCTTGACATTTTCACATTAAATTAAGACAACAGAGGTTATTGTTTCTTTGATAAGTGAGGTTGTTTTTATAGGGCGACATACCCAGAGAACTCTTGCACATTTTACAAAGCATTTTTACAGACATAATTGTGGATGCCAACAAGAAGCTATAATTTTCTATTCTGTTCTCAATACTTGAGTAAGTTGCATAAAACTGCACTGAGTGCTACCTCAACGTTGCAATGTAATCTCCCCCAGTCAATTCCCTATCAAAAAGGGAGGAGTGTGCCTATCAGTGGTTATGGCTGTTTATACCCCCTGTATGCCCAGTCCCGAAAACTATACAAACACATGCCTGGCATCAGTTATGTACGTGGGGCTATTCACTTCTTTACAATTAAGCACAGGCTGAAGTCATGATCTGAGCAAGAACTCATTAACCTAAAAATTATGTAGCAAGAACTCTAATCTTTATCATGATTTGTGTTTTAGGCAGCTGAGCTGGTAACCAGTGAGTTCTTTGAACAAGGAGACAGAGAAAGATCTGAACTCAAACTCACCCCTTCAGTAAGTTTTTATCACTTCTGAAATAGTTACTAATTTGAATAGGGTAAGAAAATATCATTGGGTTCATTCAGAAAAACTAACTGTATTTTGTATGTAAAGAAAGATCTTGGAATAAATAAAAGCTCTGTCCAATAAGGACATACGTTTAAAGACGTATATAAAATCTCTCCAGTCACTTTTGCATTAAGCCTTTTTCCCTGTTTTCTGTACCTATTCCCAAAGTTATTGCATCAGTTAATTTTCTAAGCAACAGGTATTGGTTTTAATACATAGTATTCAAATAAAAAATCACCAACTACTGATGGAAATCAAAATTGTCAGATTTACTTTATGCTGTAGCTGTCTATCTATGTTATTTGATGTATCAAATGTTGAAAAGCATTTCTATAGGTATACAACCAGATATAACACTGTGACTGGAAGAATAAATCGGTATTGAGTGGAATATAGGCAGATGGATATAAAGTGTCAAACAAGAACTAAGAAAGAGTTTCATAAAGATTTTCAGTGAACAATTTGAAGAGAAAGCCTTATCCAGGTTAAATACCTCAAAATGTTGACAAGCCATTATCTGAAGGCAACAGAAGAAGGGTAACAAAGTACTCTACAGAATTTAACTTACAGGTTTAACACACAAATATGTTTATGCTTCCAAAAATAAAAAGACCATTCACAGAATCACAGAATTTTCAGAGTTGGAAGGGACCTCTAGAGATCTAGTCTAACTCCCCTGCTAAAGCAGGATTGCCCAGAGCACATTACTCAGGACTGCATCCAGGCGGGTTTTGAAAATCTCCAGAGAAGGGGACTCCACACCCTCCCTGGGCAGCCTGTGCCACTGCTCTGCCACCCTATAACTGTAAAGAAGTTTTTCCGTGTATTTGAACGGAACTTCCTATGTTCCAACTTGTGCCCATTGCCCCTTGTCCTGTCCCTGGGAACCACTGAAAAGAGTGGGCTCAGTCCATTCCAGTGGCTCAGAATTGTTCTCGCTTCAATAATACTTGCACATGAGCCTGTGATGAAGTAATGAAGTCAATAAAGTTTAAAAGTGTGTAGTAAATAATGCTCAGATACAATAAATGGCTTTTCACTTTGTATACTGTCAGAGGTTGGGACATTAATGGATTTCTTCCCTATAGTAGTTCTGTGTGTACATAATCTCAGAAAAAATGGTACCGGTAGTCCAGTAGAAGAATAATCGGTCAGTCATGTTATTCACAATTCTGAGACCAAATCTAGGCCTGAATTACTGCAAGTACTATTCTGTATAATATGGATATAAGTGCCTTTTCTGCCTTGTTTATAAAATTTGCAAAGTGTGTTTCTCATGCTAATGAAGCATAATAGGAAGACACACATTAATGTTACTGTCTTCAAGTAGCAATGAATTCCAGTGCAAATGGCCCAGGTCAATAAAATTCAATAAATGGTGTGCATAGGCCGCTAGAAGAAGGATTAAAATCCTGTAGATGGAAAGCTGATGGACTCAAGTAATCTTAGGCAGGGTGCGGAGGAAACTCAACTCACATTCAAACTCCGCAGAGCTCAGTTTCTTCCACCTCCTTTCAGCCAATAATTGAGCCTCTTAAACATCAGCTTTGACCTCTGTAGTTTCCTCTCTGGGGAGCACATTGAGCAGTGAATTAGGCTCTTTCCAGAGGAACAAGTTGATAACTGCTCCCAAAACACATCTGTTGAGTTCCCCACCCTTTGGATTCCCAGACATGGCTGGTTCTGCAGAAAAGGGTCTGTAACTGGGAGGGAGGGAGTCTGCCCAAATCCATCACTGTTCATTTCGATGAGCTGAAAAACCCTATGTGAGAAAAGGGAAATTTCTACCCAAAGGTACCTACTTTACATTTCTACAGGAGGTTTCTTACCAGCTCAACTCCAACTGTGGAGCATTTATTTTACATCACAGAATTATAAAATTCAAATACATTCAGCCTACAAATTTCAAAACAGAATTGAAAATAAACAGTTTATTTTTCATGCCAGACAAAGCAGTAGAAAGACTGCTGCAAAGATTGATTATGGTTTACAAAGTGTTCTGGTTGTGAGAATTTGATCATAGCTCCAAAGTGCTGGATGATGTGTCTGTAAAATACTCTGTCGTAATAAAGCATGACAGTTTTGTTCCCTTCTCAATTCAGGCCATTTTTGATCGGAACAGGAAAGATGAACTACCCAGGTTGCAGCTCGAGTGGATTGATAGCATCTGCATGCCATTGTATGAGGTAATTTTTACTTACTGCTCCTGTAGATTCCAGAGAAGATTGTTCTTGCCTCTCTAGGGGAAAAAGAGTTAGCTTACAGTGCAGCCTTGAAGGCTACTTGAACTCTTATCTGTCTTTGATTTTACCAAAAGTCTGAATTATATGCAGAAATGATCAGATTCCCCGAAGGTGGTAATATCTGTAAACATAATTCCTCTTTAAGTTGCAAAAGCTGATAGGGCAACTCTTAATTTTATTATGTTTGAGACAAACTGATTCTCATCATGGCAAGGTGTGGAGTGCTCTGCAGAGAGGTGCCAGAGACCCGGCCTCGTTAGGTGCTACTGTCAAAACCTGTCCGAGTATATGCGACCCAAAGGGAAGCTCAAGGCTGAGCCTTTGCATTCCCTTCTGGCTCATTTCCAAACTGTTAAGGTGCACTCTAGGCCAAGCTTTTAAGGTCAGCGACAAATGATTTGTGGTTTAACCTGTGTGCTGTTTAACTTGGAGTTTACTCTTTTAATCATGCTTCTCCACAGACTGCATGAGTGCTTGATACAAGGTGTATAAGCATTGAAATACCACTTTATTAAGTGTATAGATGACCAGAATAATGCTTCTCTCTTTTTTTTGGATCAAATCAGCTTCAGAATTTGACTTGTGTAACATAAGCTTCACCATTTTAACTTTTTCTCTATTATCTGTATAGAAAGCAGAACTACATGAGCAGGATGATAAATGGAAAATAACACTATAGAAACTTAACCATCAATAAGTGTGTCAGCCAGTCTTCCTCCTACTCACTGAAACCCCACAGAGCCTTATGCCACTAAAGATTGCCAGTTTGGCTACTGATATCTGAGGAAATGTGGGGATGTTCTCAGTAGGTGTTTTAGAGGAACTGCAACAAATTCCCCCTGTTACCACTGCACTCTAAACTACCTCATCTCCAAACAATGACTGGGTCAGTGATGATACAAAGCCGAGAGCTGGGAAGCAGGTACCAGCTCCCATGTTAACATTGAAGTGATGAACTTGTGCCTGAATTGTAGCTTCCCTACAGACAAACAAAAATGAATTGGCAGTTCCTTTTCACTTTATAGACCAGATATGTCACCAGTAGCAAATGAGGTAAGAAGGACGATGTGCTGCCTCTGCCCTCTATACCTTGTGGCATCTGAGGCTGCCACTGTGGCAATACCGAAGTGACTACTGAGCAGCAAAGGCAACTCCTGTTGTGTGACATGGACAACATGTGCCTGTGTAAAGTGAGGTGGGCTCCTGCTTTGCCAGTAGATCCAGTCCCTTTCTTAGGTCAGTCTTTATCATGATGAAATAAAATAAAGCTACAGCTTTCAAACAATTAAGGCAAAGCGAGTCCAGAAGAATATAAACCTGTTTTTAAATACCAAGATCATTTTGGACAAGGCGGGGGGGAAGCTGACCTTGGATGAAAACTTTTTTTAAAATAATGTTCCTTTCAATATAATAGCTCATATTACACTGGAATGCATATTATTCTAAAATTCGTGATTCTTAATAGCATCTGTAATCTAAAAATGTACTATAAAGCAGGAAGAGCTGATAATCAGCCCATCCTCTGCATGAGAAGACTACATCTGAGCACTAAAGCTCTGGTTAGTTAGCTCCATCTTAGCAGGAGATCTCTGGGGAATATATTCACATCTGATTTCCCTGCTTTCTGCTGTCTTTGCATCATGCTGTGCAGCTATTAGCCTGCTGCTCAACAACTTTAAAAAGAGACACCATCAAACCTGGAAGTCATTGCAGCACCAGCCTTAGGGGTAAACAGAAAACTTGATGTCATAGTATCACACTGCGGGAGATTTTCTCTTCAATATGGAGCCAAGTTTTAATTTTCATATCCAGCTTAATCAAACCTCAATACACATATCACATCAGCAGTGTATTCAGGCATTGTAAATCCTCCATTTAGGGCTGGCTGAGCACTACAACTGTGGCCAAGTCCTAGATTTCTTCTCTTTTTCTTTCCAAATACATTCTTTAAAATTCTAGCCATTGTAATATGTTGTAGGGACTGCATGTGGGGAGAGAATGGGTTACATCATTACAAATGCAACGTAAAGAGGTGGAGTGGCAGCTGACAAATTAGTAAAATCTTAGCAGTACTTACATAGCTCACTAGCATAGCACTTATAAAAACCGTATGTTTGAAATACACATTTGACACTCATTTTGATACCAAAATTACAACATTAAACCATAGAGAACAAAATCAAGGCTTTTGCGTGTAGTTTTTTCCATGACTTCTGAATCCATGTGGGCAAATCCTAGAATCGAGAGCCCTGAAGGCAGCTCTGTGGGGAATGTGTGTGTCCATACCAATGCAGTTGCTACAGTAGGACCTAATGCCTTGCCCTGTGTTACTTGACACCCACACAGTAGACATGGTCCCAGCAACCAGTGAATGCTGGCAACTCCAATTAAAGTCAGGCAGGAGATCAGCAGAGCCCCCTGAAATTTTCTTTGCTCAAAGTAGTTCCCAAGAGCAGGCTATTCTTGGCAGCTGCAGGTGTCTGAAGCATGCAATGCAGAGGAACTTCACAGCCCAAGCTTCCAGGAGTGGAACTGACAGTACTATAACAAACCATACCTTCTCCACATTCCAAGCTTAAGAGCTAGGCTACATACCAGAGTGCCCATAAGGACTATTTTATAATTAAAACAGCATATAAACTTTGCAGAGCATTTTAGAGAGATGTGGCCTTCCTAGCCTTATGTTTTTTCTCCATTCTGAAACATTCTCTGGGACGTGATCAATCATCTGGGGAGGTTTGGCTTTACCTCCTCACGCATCTGCTTTGCTCTCTGTATTTCCTTAATGTAGTTCAAGACAACCCACTTTGAGGTGCAGTTCTTCTCCCAAGTAAAGGATAACGAAGTCGCCTTTATAGGGAGATGTGTGTCACATCCCTCTGATTACCTGGCTAGAACTCTTTTCTGAGTTTGGCCCCTTTTTGTGAGAAGGTTTACAAGTGACTAACAAATCGTCAAGATATGTGCACCTTCCATTAGCCATCCTGTTTGAGTGCCCCCTGGAGTGCTCATCCTACCCAGAAGAAAGAAGGTCAAAGATACACAAAATGTGGTACATCGTAAGCTATAAAGTGGAGCTTGAAGCTGAATATAGCTACATAATGAGAGCTGGGGGTATTTAAAAAAACCTACAACACAATAAATATCAGGAATTATGTTCAGTTCAATTTCCCATATCCAAGTGTCTAAATCCAAAACTTTTTTGTGTTTGTCTGTAAGCCTGACTCTGCTCTTGGCACAAGGTAAGCCATGGTTCTGCTCCCTTGCTTTCTCCCATATCTGCTGCTCAATGTGGGAATTGGGCCACCTCCAATTTCAAAATACCTTAGTAATCAAATCTGTTTCCTTCACACTGTGGATCAAAGGTTTGTGAAGATAAAAGCCTCCCAATTCTTTGTTCATTGCTTTTTATTACACATGGGACATTATAATTTTATTGAATTTACTTTTTTGTTACTGTAGTGATCACTGATCAGAGTATTTTTATGTGACAGTGGAGTTTTTGCCTTGAGTAGCAGAACAGCCATCCATTTACTCTGAAGCTCTGATTTTAGAGGCTTTAGTTACGCTTTCCTGCATCACATTTGCTCCTCATTCAAAAATGCCAGCAAGAAAAGTGTTCGTCAGTAGAGATGAGAAACAAGTTTATTGGAACAATAATTTATAAGGAAAAAATGCATTTTTGGAACTGTAGAGCATTTCAAATCTACTAATGTAGCTTCAGTATGAAGTAATCATCCCCCTTTTTTTGTTAGAATATTCTGTAAAGGGGAAGCACGTGTAACTAAAGCAGAAAATCTAAGACATCACACTGGAAATAAAGCACTATGGCTACACTGACAGCTGTGTTCACACAGGGAAAGTATTCTGTACCTGTTTGGACATACATGTTCGTGTAACAGGAAACAGAATTTTGATCGTTAAGACAAATTACCTCTCTCATGCTCCAGTAAGGAGATGCTAAGAGTTTCAACACTAACAGATTTCTCTCCTTGACTCTGTTTTTTGTGTACCCAAAACAGGATCAGTCACAGATTTTTCCCAACTCAGATTAGATTTCTCTGTGGGGAGCAGACAGAGTGGGAGAGCGAAGATCTTACTCTTTTTAATCATTATTTTTCTCACAAACAACATCAAAGCTTCAGTGATACACATCAAACAAAAGATGCTAACAGAAGCCCAGCTCTGTTCACAGCATTGTTAGGCAGAGACAGTAACACTATGAATAGCAGGGCCAAAGGCCATGCACTCTGCTTCTGGGCAGATACATACATAGTCAGGTAGTCAGTGACAATGACAGCAGCTATTTAAATTTAAGGGAGATGTCTTTGTGGAAGATAAAGAAGCTCATGGCTTTTACAACTTATGCGTGCCTGAGATTGCCCTGCTCACCTCTACCTTGGTGCTCCATTGAACCGCTCCATTTTAGTGCTATTTTTAGTGCTATTCAAGATTTTCTTGGGCATTGAGAGCTTTAAATATATAATAGTATCTACAGAAGTGAATTTGCATTACTCCATCCAGGATTTTGGAGGGGAATCTGGGAAGGGTAGAAACATTTATGTTTAGCCTAGCCAGTACTTTAAATATTTTGAATGGAATGTGGAGGGACAGAGTCCTCCTTTGTCACGTTGTTTGACCATTTAGAAAGAAATCTAATCACTCTGTCTACAACTCCAAGAGCTCTGATATGCTTGTCTTCCTACAGAAGATAATGTCTGGCCTTGTAATTAGATCTGTCTCTAGAATATGATGACATAGCTGCAAAAGCGTCTATTCTGCTTGTAAGCATATATTAAATGCACAGGGTATCATAAATGCTAGGGCCTCTACAAAGCACAGAAAAAATACACAGAAGTCACCAACAGTCATGGCTACCTCTGTGCTTTAACTTCTCTGGTTCAAGAGTTGACTTTTGACATCTGGATTGGAAGTGGATATGC